ACCCCACATAAGATGTGTCGACATCATGAGAAAATTTTCTCCTACCGCATGAGAAAATCGAAACCCATAAACAAAAGTAGAGGAAAGAAAAGAAGTTTGTTACAACAAACTCTGAGGTGGCAACCTATACAGAAAGATCTAGAATAAAAAAAATAATGAATATTGTAATATATCCTGTGGATTAGGTGGGACCGATCATTGTCGCAAAAAAACATTATCCAGAGTCACAGTTTTGTAGATTTAACTTGATACAATATTTACAAACTAAGACACCAACATAATTATTTTATATTATATAAATAGAGGACAATATATTCTTACACCAAGTAAATAAGATGTCATATTTCTAATTCTGATCATTGATTTGCTATCATCTAACGATTCAAATATCTAATAAATCAGAACCATTAAATATAAATTAAAATAATGATCAAGATTGAGAGTGTAACTTACACTAGTGTAAAATAATCCTAACCTATGTAAATAACATTTTTGAGGAATTTATCTATCAACTTTTTTACATGTCAACTTTTATTGGCTTAATTTATTCATTTTAGTAAAATAATACAACGTGCCAAATTGATCCAAAATTTTAAATTATTAAGTGAATATTAAATTAATTATTTTATATTATATTTCTCTAACACATTTTTTTTTCCACAAGAGCCATTGAATGCGAATAGTAGTCAGTCACAGAAATTTTGATATACATATAAATAATTATTTCAATTCAAAGATCTAAATTTTTATATAGAAATTATATTAATAATTTTATATTATATTTTATAACAAGTAAATCTATAAAAAAAAATTTCAATATTAAGTTATCAAATTTTCTTTTAAAACAAACCCAAATGTTAACATTAGCTGGCAGTACGTAGCATATAGAATGACATCGATCGCAATAGATTGAAATTACAGATAATAATATTTGCATAACTTTAGTGGGGAAAGTATATAAATAATTAGTCCATCTTCTATCCAGTTCATTTCAATAGGAATAATTTATCAATCCATCATTTATTCAGTTTCATATAAGTTAAATTCAATCATTCAATTGTAATAATAAACTTAGGGCTATATTTATATTGAACTTACTTTATTAATACGACTAATTGAAGCTGCCAGCTTTAACTTTATTCCCAATTTATTCCCGGTCTTTCCAGTAAAGTTGCCGTATATGGGTCCGTATGGATTTATTTTTTTTATTAATTTTTTTTTATAACTTATTGATTTTCTGACACTGCTCACTTATTTTGAGAAATAATTTTTTTCATATGTATTAATAGTTTATTAATTAAATAATTTTGATAATTTGTAAATCCAAGTGATACGAGGTTATGTGGGTAAACTAGCGTGCGAGTAGCATTTTTCAAGCCATTAAGTTTAAGTTCCTTAAATAATCTAAAGTGTTTGACTTGTTGTTTTTTGAGGACGGTTTTCCATGCATGTCCATTATATTATGGTTTTGATCACTAGTATGTATCTCAATGGTGGTTACGCTGAACTAGTGGAATCGGGAAGTGATGGGCACAATCTCAAGAAAATATTTGTTACACTTTTGTACACAAGTATAACAAGACTGAATCAAAGTGATTATTGTCCAAGTTAGATAGGTGTAATATTTTAATATGAAAACATCAAAAAAAAAATTGTGTAAGCAAAACATCAAATTTTATTTTCGTGCAAATCAAGATAGGATATAGTTTTTTATATTGTATGAGACAAATTGCCTCATACAATATACAAAAAAAAAAAAAAAGAGTTAAATCCATCAAGAAGAAGAGAGCAAAAATAAATAAATGAATCTCATTTATATTTTTATATTTTACATTAGATAAATTATTTCATATAATATTAAAAATAATATTCACAATCAAAATATATATCAACTTTCTTGGAATGCGTTATCCAAAAAAAAAACTTTCTTATATTACGAATCGCGACTTTTTGACCTACTTTATCAACAATATCAACTTTACTTCTTTCTTTGGCATCTTTTGATTAACTTTTCTTAAAATATCATCCACTCTTCATCTTTTTTAAGAAATGTATTCGCGTTTTAAAAAGCTTAAAGTAACATTTCTTCCATGTCATGATTGAAATAATTATTTGAACTCAAAATTTTAAATTGTTTTTTAAGGATTTATATTATTCTCTAATACACCCTCTCACGTAAGAGCTTTTAATTTTTGGTTTATCTTGTGTTGAAAAGTGAGGGGATCGAACTCATGATCTTATAGTCACTGAAGCTCTCTGATACCATATAAAAAATAATTTCAACCAAAAATCTTAAGGTGTTGAATGAGTCTAATGATTTATATTATTTTTAACACATGATTTTTTTTTCAAAATATAAATATTTAAATGTTATTAATTATTATTATGAGATTTATATCATATTATTTAATTATATATTTATATTAATCAACGATTGAACTTTTCAAATAATTACTATCACGGTCAAATTTTAAAATATATGATAATGTATAATTGGATGAGAATGTAAAAAAATTTCATAAATGTTAAATTAAATTAAATAAAAAGCATCTCTCGTGTGTGTGTCTATATATATATATATATATATATATATATATATATATGGGCTTAGTGAGTATCAAGTGACTGAATGTAATTTTAGTCCAGTGTACTCTATTCTCCCGCGAAAATATAATGCAAAAAATATTATAACTATGTTATCTCGGGAAAACACCTGAAGAACACCATTGTAATATTTTTGTACTATATTCTCGCGGGAGAATATAGTCACAATACAGTCACTGGACAGTCCAGTGACTGAATTTTAAATTTTTCGTATATATATATGAGGCAGATCCTTTGACACCGGTGTCAAAGAAAAAGTTTGACACCTCATCTGAGAGCCGTTAGATTAAAAAAAATCAATAGTGTCACATGCTTACAAATCAGAATCGTTGATTTTTTTTAATCTAACGGCTCTCAGATGAGGTGTCAAATTTTTTTTTGACACCGGTGTCAAAGGATCCTGTCACTATATATATATATATATATATATATATATATATATATATATAATCTCTCGTTTTTTCTTCCATATATTTTTGGTGGACAGATGTTCATCAGAAGTAACTTCCAAAAGATAATTCACGCTCTCTCTAGCCATGTAAACAGAAGCTAGAGACAATTATTTTTTTATTATTTTTTTTTGTAGAGACAATTATTATTACTACTATTATTTAACAATTGCAAAAGCGCTCACAGCAGCGAGCTTCAGTCGCTTTAGCCATGCAAAAGCAAAGCACCATCTCGATAATGGATCTGATTCCCCAACGAAAAACACGTTGGCTAGCTGTTCGAGAGGGTTCCATAAGCAGAAATTCTAATGTATTTTTTTGTTTTGTTTTATTTATTATTTAAGAGGACGTTTGGTACAAGAGAAAAAAAAATTTATCCAAGAAATAATTATTATCGGAATGTAGTGGAAAATATATTTTACTGAAATGTTAATAAAAAGTTGTTTGATAGACTCATATTTTTTCAGAAAAATAAAGTTAATTTGTTTGAGTTTGTGTTTGGTTGATTATGAAATATTAGTGAGAATATAAGGTTATTTTACCAAAATAATCTCGCTTTCACATTTTTTATTCAAACATGTGTTTGTATATCCGGAGACTCCATTGGCTGATCAGAAATATATGTCTAATCAAATAGCAAAACAGTACATTTGATAACAATCACACGGCCGGCAATGACACAATACAATTATCAGTTATTTAATTTTGGAGAAATTTTTCTCGGTTTTTGTGCCTCTTACACCGGAAAGAAAGAAATCCAATTAATCTGTGATATTATTTGTTGGTTGTTTGTCTTTTATTTTACCCAGCAAGTCGAATTCCAGGAGTGAAAATTTTTCGGGAAAAATTTTATTAAATGGCAACCAAACATTGCATTCTTTTTTATCCAACCTCACTTTTTCAAGTTTTTACAAATATATCTCCTATCAAACAGTACCTAAATTTTAAATTTGATAAAGAATATAAAACATGTGCAACAGAATTTTTTATTTTTTATTTTTTTAACGATATCCCCGCTGAATCACCTCAAATTGTCTTGTCCTCGTAGTACGGTTTTAGAGATACTTTCGCATAGAAAAAAGTGAGTGATATTAAACAAAATGTACAATAAACAAAATTCAAAGTATTTTACCAAAAAAAGAAAAAACTTAAAAGTACAAATGATTTGATTTGATTTCCAAAAAAAAGAAAATACAAATGGTTTGCCTATTTTCAAGTGTGCCACCCTTTCGGATTTTGTGCAATACAAGTTAGAAGTACTTGTTTTGTTTACTAAAATATTTGAATAATGAAATTTTCATAAGTGTAAAATGAATTGACATGAACATAATTTCATTATAAATACTAATACATTTATAATTTTATAAAGTGTCTCATCCAAAACTTAATAGTTATCAGGTTCTTTTGATTTATTAATACGCATAATTATTATTCTTTGGCTCTTTATAATTTTACTACTTCTGTTATTAATGATTTAATAACACATTATGATAATTTTACTTCGTTTAAAACAAAGTTCTTTTTAAATTATAAATAAATTCAAACCTTGTATGGCAGAATAGATTAATATTTGAAATTTTGATGATCAGTTTAAATTAATGTGCTATGCATTTTACTTTATATAAGAAATCCTATATTTGAAAATTAAAATTTGCTAATACATAGTCTCATTAATTATTTTCTAAATAAATTTTTCAGACACCGGTTAATAACCTATATTATCAATGTTTTCTCTAGACAATTTTGTTGATGGATATAAATACATAATATTTATCATTAACACTTCAGAGAACATTAAACATGAACTTAATTAAGTGAATTATATTAAAATACACTTCTAAAAATATTTTTATATATGTCCCTTATTGAATAAAATATTTTTAATAAAACTTTTTAAATAATTATTTAAAATATCTCAAATCTCAGCGAATCCGTCAACTAGGGGCCACGAATAATTTGTATAAAATGTAATTCACTCAAGTTTACTTGAATTTTAAGGATAACTACATGACAAGCCTATGTTATTCATCTCTTACTTAAAAGAAACAAATTCCAACTGAGATCACAAGAAATCCCATCTCAATTAAGAGAGACCCGAGCCCATGTATACATAAAAACAAGAAGAAGAAGTGCAACTCAAGGTCATATACCAGGACAAGAAACAAATATTGCTTTTCATGCACTAGACTCCCATCATTCATCATTCATCATTCATCATTCATCATTCATCATTCATTATTTTGTTGAGGACGCTTCATTTTGAGAAGATGGGAGAGTCCTGCTATAACATGTAAACGACTATTTGGGACACCCGATTTTGCCAGGGCCCTTCCTTTGTTGTCAAGAAGCACAAAGCATGGAACATACCTAACATCATAATTAAGGAGCTGCAAAAGGAAGATTTAAACATAAGTAAGCAAGTCATAATGAACAGAAAGTACTCTCCTGAGAAGACTAAACAAATAAGTACATATATCAAAATTCAATTATTCGTAAACAACCTCATCTTCCAGTTATTAAAAGATAGCACAATTTCATGGAAAGTTACAAGAATATCAAGAAGTAATAGCTTGAAGCCTTGAATTATTTCCATAAGAAACCCCAAGAAACTAGATTTGTAGCTTCAACACAATTCCCAGAAATGGCAAGCCAAAGTAGTCAAAGAAGAAAACTTCTAATTGTATCCTAAATTTGCAACTCCACTGTTTTCATCGAGTAAAGGAGAAGGCCTCAAATCTCTTAATTGACAATGTAATTTACTCTCAAATTTAAAAATTTTGTTCTTCCTGTAACACCAAATTTGTTTGGGTTAATTGCGGGAACTGTCCATTTGTCAATTATTAATAGTATATGCCAACAATTAAAATGGCCAACGTATGATCTGACAGTTGCAAAGTAGGTTAAATATGGAAGTAGTATTTCTTACAATGCATGCTGTACAACACAATCCAAGGCGCGACGCAAGGTTAAGGCTGACTGAGGCAGCAGTTGGAGTATAAAGAAGATTTGCATGGTTTGCTTGCAAAGTTAATTCTAAAAGAATGAATAAAAAATTAAAATGTAAAAAAAAAAAAAAACTCGCAAAGTATTCAATGGAGAGTCAAGATTGCAATACTTCCCGAAGGGGGATATATATTAACAATCAGATTTAAAAAGATGAGAAAAAGTTCTGCATCTTAAAGAGAAGGAGAAAAAAGAAGGTTCAGTGCAGGAGACACAGACCAAGAACCTAATGGTTTAGTCAGGTTCGTTAAAATGTGGTTCAACATACTTGCGCCTGAAGATAACATAAAATATTTATCTAATTAAGCTTTGCTAAGCCCCCCATGTCTCAATTAAATCTTTCTCATGACCAAAATATGATATTTAATTCTACATGCTTACGTTAAAGAAACAAAACAATATTGAAAAAGTTTTTACAGAAATTAAAACACTGCTACAAAGTAAATGCTAATAAGGTAGGATATTGAACTGAATGGTAAAATGAACAGAAAGACAGCTTATATGAAGCTATTCATTTTCACTGCTGTCTGGTATTTCTTCAAAGCTGGCCCAAACTGGGCAGACCAGTGCTAGACAATCAGTCGAGCTCCACCCATTGTATACAGATAAGAACCCAACCTTGTAACAGAGTATTCAACTAAGAAGGAAGGAAACAAGTTACAGACAAAGGCTTGTATTACCGAGTTAATGAACAACAATACAGGGAAGTTGTAGTACAACTGCTACTAGCAGATCAGTACATCAGAATTTTAAGAAAATACAAGCTAGATAGAAAGGAAAATGATAGTGTATGCAAAGCAATTAGAGAGGCTCTACTCTCTTCCAAGTCCCATGACCCAATTCAGATTTCACATCCCCCCATCCAGCCTCACACTCACACCTTCCCAATTTAACCACCCTTCCCTCACCTCCCATGCCACCCATTTTGATAGAATTAGTTACAATTGGTTGCAACTGATTAACTAAGTCAGCAGAATGATTATTCCCCTACAATGTTTCCTCACATGCACCCTCAAAAGCTGGGAATGTATCAATACTCCCCCCAAAACAATCACCTTGTCCTCAAAGTAGTGAAATGACGATAATATTCTCTCCCGGATCCCAGTGCTTGGATTGTAAGGATCCATTAATGCAATAAATGGCATAACCTCTACCTCTAATCACATTTCTATAGTGATAACAAGCATGCAAGAGTTTATTAAAAAATTCTTCCCCATGTAGTGGAAATCCTAACAAGTCAACAATCAATGAGCTCAAGTATTACCTACTATGATGACGCAGAACAAACGGGAATCAATTAAAAATTACTTGATGGGTACTGAAGCATGGCTGCATGGATATTATCCATACCACTATAGCTAGGATTAGATCTATTCCAGTGGTTCAGTATCAGAACCGAAGTTAATAAATACCAGTTATAACATCATGTAATCTTGTACACAGAGTTTGCAGGCTCTATGCAAGCACATGAGATAACCGAGATATGAAGAATGTTACTGCAACTTATGCAAGAGATGAGAAACCTCCATAGAGATCAAGTTAGATCCCATGTGGAGATTCCAAAAGGTGAGCACAACCCAAAGGACATTCTGAAAGGTTGGGTAGACAATGAATTTGGAGATGGAGATGTGGACCCACTAAGCAGGTGGAACAAGGTAGATTGGATTAAAGGATTTTTTATTTTTTTCCCTGCAACAAATGTAGGCAGCGCTGAAATCACTGAATAACAATCAATCTTCTTGAGGGTACTTTTGTAGATTGGAATTCTCCACAATTCAATGATGTTTGTCAAGAAAATATTTCAAGAAGATAGATTGTCAAGTTACCCAGCTTTACCTTTTTTAAGAGCACAGCCAAGAAAATTATCCCCAATCAACTAGTCAAGAAATTACCAGTTGATGGAAATTTTCATGGTGGATCAAGATTGAAAAATACAGATATTCAAAAAGATCTACATGAGGAGCATGTTTAAAGTGACAAAATAAATTTAAAATTTGATCACTTTAGCTTTATTTGGTTTGGTCAGTTGCATTCAGATTTTGTTCAAATTTATTTGTTACAGCAAACCACCCAAAGCCACAAGCTGAGTGAATCCTAATTACTCAAAACTTAAGAGACCAAGATGGAGAAGAATTTCGAGATGTGAGCATTTAAGGATTCTTTTTATATGGAGCATAAGAGTTGAAGACAAAATAAACTGTCCCAAGACGTTTAAGTCTTTTATTAATTTTCTTTGTATATTATCAAATAAAGGTGCAACAGAGCATCTATTGCCCAATTGCAGTTGGCCTACTATACAAGAATCAATCCAAAAACATTCACCTTTTCACCTAGCCCAAATAATGTCATTCACTCCAACCTAACAAACCGATTAAATGAATTATAAATAAGTAAATTCTAAAGCAGTGCCAATACCAGTGAAAAATCTGTATACCTTGCCATATTCAATGAATTTTAGAGAAGGAAACAACTAATCCAAATTCCCAGTCTGGAACTCTTATTAACAATGGCAAATTGGTAAACACAACAGACATAAAAATAAAAAGAAAAGAAAAGAATGTAAAGCGCACTTGGTTATGCAACTGCAGATATCATCACTAATTGAACAAGGGCAAGCTATGCAATTTGTATCAATACACAGTGCAGAAAATAAGATACCTCAGGGAGCCATTTCTCATTCTCAGCATCAGCCATGACAATGTTGAGCCAATCAGAGTTCCTGGTTTCCACATCCGAAACAAAACTAAGCAACGAATTGCAAAGCCTGCATTTTGGTGAGTAGAACTCAAGCACTGTGGCCTCCTTCCCGCTCGCCAGAGCCGACGCAAACGCTCTTTGCTCCGCCTCCGCCTGATCGGCGGCGCCGGCGGAAGGGGTAATTTTCTTCTTCCCCAAATTCAAATTATTGGCGTGACTAATTTTGTTGAAGGAATTGGGACTGTGAGGAGTTGAAGAATTCGAAAGAGAGGCGACAAAATTGAAAGCGATTGAGGCTAGAGACTTGAATGGCCAAGGACCCTCAAAGTTGCAGGGGTTAGGGTTTATGGCACTTTGGTTTGTAGCATCCCATGGCCATTTTAGGCAAAACGCAGGTTGCTTAGGATTACCAATCAAACCCATCCAATTTCCCGCATCAGCAACAACAAGAGTACCCTGTTTTACCTACTTTTCACCGCATGAACATAAATTCTTCAAAATCCTGATACCCATTCTCACGGTAAGTTAAATTTTCAAACTGGAGTACCAATAAAAAATAAAGAAATCAATTTATAGTTTAAAATAACAAAAATCGTGTCTACCAAAAAAAAAAAAAAAACGAAAATCGGATAATCACCCAAAAACTTTATTGCTTAGGGTTTTTTTTTTTTAATTTTAACTTTAAAATAAATTTTAAATTCCAAAAAAATGCTGGGTCAAACATGTTTTGAATTGATATTTAAGTTTTATTGTAGAACTAAAATGGTTGTTTATTCTAAATTGATATTTTAGGACTAAGTTTTATTTAACTCTTCAGTGCTGCCTATTATCTAGCTAAAAGGTCTCTTGGTATTCAAATTTGTTGTTTTAAGAAAGGTGAAATATTTTTGGTCAGTACAAGCTTATTGTATTAAAGACCTTTGCTTCCTTTATTCAATTATTCTACATTATAATACATTAAAACAATCCAATCATAAACATGCAACAAAAAGGGCAAATTATTTGCTTGTGTCATAGGCTTAAACAACGTACATGCAACAATCCAATCATACTGATTTCACTAGTGTATCCCGTACACAAGAAGATAAACACAGTTCTAACAGAGAGTAAACAGAGTTATCATTTCATGATGAATCTGACTCCATTTGTTGCCCTTTCTATAGATATTGATCAGGGATATTGTTTCATACTGCAAGAGACAAATGTAACATCAAAAATAAAATAAAAAATCATGAGACATTAATTTGTCTCATATAATATGAGAAACAATATCCCTTTGATAAATATGCTAATGCAAATAAACAATGCCAAGTTTGCCACTCGAATTTCCTTCCATGTAACAAGATTTTTATCTACTGCAGAAGACACGGTAATAAGGCTGTTTATGTCCCCCAGCAGATCAAGACTAAATGAATTGGAGGCTTTATCAAGATAACATATGTACCAAAGATGATGCCATTGGATAAGGTAACCAAGAAATTAAAGTAGAAAGTGTCCCATTGATTAAAAAAGACCAACAACGAGAAGGAACAGTAGGAATATACAGAGCACAAATCAGCTATTCAGAGACTAAATCCCACTGCATATATTTGGCTAATAGGTTCCATCATTTGTACCACCAGTAAAGAGAAAAAGACCAAACCCCACAGCAAAATGAGTTTCCTCTCACCAAGAACATAGCAAAGTAATAAAACCAACAAAAACACGTAGCTAAATATCACTAGGCGAAACTGGTCCTAGATAATGAGCTTCCAAACCAACCAATGCCTGAAACTCCCTATCAGCCTCCATCCACTTGGTACCGATCACTACAAAGCGAACAACGACATCCTTCCCAATTCTGGACATTTTATCATTCATGAAGCATGGGTTTTCACCAGGAATATAACGATAATCAGGCATCTTCAAATTTGAGAGATAGGCATTCTCAATTGGGCCACATCTCATGAAAACCCCATGCTTCAGAACCTTGTGGACAACACCCTCTAATATCTCACCCTTGTAAAGCTTGAAGGTGATGGCATTAAAAGTAACAGGGAAGAGCACATCCCCAGTATGTTGTCTGACTTTTCCTTCTCCTATTCTCTCCAGTGTGGTCACTGCAAGAAAGTATCCCAGATCTTTGGTTGCCTTCTTCACAGAAAAGTCATTAAGAAGACGGATGATTATTGCCCGTTGAAGCATCAGACCATCTGGTTGCAGGTTTTCTGCAGCAATTATGACATTCCAGGACAGCTTGACTTTGAGAAACATTGTTTTATTCGTTACTTCCTCCTGGTAATATCTTCTGCCATGGCATAAAATGATATCAGTGTGTCAGTATATATAATTCCTATCCCATCTAATTCAAAGGGCACAAGTATTCTTTAAATTAAATGTTTGTTTTGAAGTGAATGCTAATAATTAAACTAACGAATATCAAAATTAAATTTTGTTGCAAGAAGACTAATGTCAACAAAATCGCTATTTTACTAGGAGATCATAGAGTTATGACATTACAACCCATTCAAATATAGATATACAAGTAAGTTTTTCTAGTTCACAACTTCTCAAATAAAAACACACATTTCTACTTATTGCATAAAATATGAACAGATAGAAAACTTTTCTACTTCATGCTCTTCGAAAAATTCATCAAGTATACGCTCTCAACGCTTTTAACTTGTAACTAACACTGCAGTTGCAGTAATGGTGATATGATTACTGAGGCAACTGCAGGAAAATGCCCAAAAGTTGTTTGACGCAAACCCAAATAATGACCAATTGACCATGTGCAGTTGCTGTAGGCCTGTAGCCAAATCATGGTCATCAATATGATGTCATTTTTTCTAAGACAAAGATGCAAACCCCACAATGATGGTAGCCTCATGCACTAGACTGCCCTTATTTACAGATGCACAGAGGCCTGGCTCAACATATCAGCAACTCTTTTTTGACATATAGCTACCAAACCAAAGGGGAATAAATACCAGTAACAATTTATCTAAAAAATAAAATGAAGCACTGTGTGCAACTGCAAAAGAATATAAATAATAGCAAATACACAATAAATAAATAAATAAATAAACCGAGAAGAAGGCAGTTGAAAAATCATGTGCCTCTATTAGTTTCCACTCGCTAATCACATGTAGAAAGTTCTGACAACCTTAAGACTTGAGTGTTTGTTTTCTCCAGCAATCGATTCAGCTCCCCATCCCCAATCTCCCAGGAGAGCGGGTAACCTAAGGTCCAATTAAGTTATAGGGCACGATCATTTTACACCAAGTTTATATACCAGTCATAGGTCCCTAAGGGGAAAGTGCAATAATCTGCTACTGCTAGAACAAGAAAACAAAGATAAAAAGTTTATTCTTTTATTCACACCTTAAACATCATTGGGTGCCTTATTTATACCAGAAGGATGATAAGAATTAATGATAACTACTAAGAAAAATATTAAAAACAAACAACTAATTACAGACAAGAAAATCAATAATTCCAGACAGCTAGCATATGAAGCTTATCTGAATCATCATCGAACAATTGGCAGAGAGCAGAAACATGAATAATTGGTAGTACACAAGACCTAGAAATGTTAAAAATTCTACAAACTAAAACCTTGCTTTTCTGATTTTTAAAAGCATAACTAATTAGATTATTCTCATGCCCATTTGCCAAAATCCAGAATGAAAGCCCTTCTTACAGAACAACTAGTTCCCAGAGCAGAAATTGGTTCTTCAACAGATAAATTTACTCAAACAACTTGAAATAGCTAAACTAGCAAAGAGGATTGTACAACCAAAACTAAAAGTGGAACTCTATCAATCATTAACTATTATTTCATCCAAAAGAAAAAAAAATAGTGAACTGACCCAACAGCATGCAGAGGGTAAAAGCATAAAACTTTCCTATCTAAGACGATTTATTCAATTGTGGGGAAGGGGCGAAAAAGGACCAAAGGGGTTTTAGGGGTTTTCTATTTGCGGAGCGGTTTCGTTCATTCGAGAAAACAACAAGGATAACCCATATTTGGAAGCAGAAAACAAAAATGCATCAGAAAGTTGAAAACTTTTGGTATACAGAAACAGAACAACTCACATGAGAAAAAGATCAAAGGGCATTACCTGAGATTGAGAATGTGATGAAACGAAAGTGGCAAGCGAGAGAGTGAGGAGTTACAAGCTATACAGCGTGGCCAGGATTCAGTGTGAGTGGCTCACATATACTTCTCTGCGCTTCCCCCTTCGATGTCTGACACGTGAATAAAAATACTTATATTTCAATATATATTAAATATATTAAGATTGATTAGAAAATGAAATAAATTTTATCTTGTTTAAATTTACTTTGTATCCAATTTTTAAATCATACTTATATTATTCTCATCTTATTTGTATATTGTATATTGATATTTATACAGGCATCAAATTTATTTGAAATTGACTAAAAAATAAATTAATTTTATCATGTTTAAATCTATTTTTTTTTAATTTTTAAATCCTAATTCAAGTATTCTTATTTTATTTATTTTAGTATTACATAATGATATTTAGATAAACATCAAATATATTTGAGATTGATTAGAGAATAAAACCGAGTATATTATTTTTGAATATAATTTCTATAAGTTTCCTTCTTTTATATCTTTTCATTATATTTTATATTTTTATATCTTTTAAACTAATTCAAACAACATTTCAATTTATTAAAATTACGAAAAAAACGTATTGCCAAAACAAAAATTAAGGAAAAACATAGGAAACAACTCTCACAACAACATGATGGGTGGTGTCAAGTGTGATAACTCAAGCACTATATGAACAAAACTATTAGTTTATTTTGAAAGGTGAAGGGAATGGGGCGATCACCCACTAGCCCCCTCTCGCTCGACTACTACCTATCAGGCAACCTAGTAAATGTCAGGCCAAACCTAATATATTATATTTAGTAAAATAAAATAGACTCATACCTTAAAAAAAAAGCTTACTAAGAAGACGCCTAATGTTGGGTCTGTGGCCCGTGATGGACTCGACCCAAATTGATGGTGCCCTAATATTTTGTTTATAAGAGATGCTTAGATGTTGAGCCGTCAGATAATAAGAGCGAAAAAGAGAAGAAAGAGAAACGCACAGAGAAAGCACAAGTTAGAGACGAAGATTCTCTGAAGAAGAAACTCAACGCCATTACCAAAGAAGAAGAATACTCTATAGAGTAAGATTCCCAATTCTCTTTACAGAGAGAAACACTTGTGTGAGACACTTGTGAGTAGATCCAGCCTTTAGAGGGTGAAGTCCTTTGGTTATTAAGCCAGAGAGAATCTTTTGTAAATTCCATTATTCATAGTAGACGTTTTTTTGGACTTGATCCCGTGGGTTTTTACTCTTCACATTGACGAGATTTTCTACGTTAAAAATATCGGTGTTCTCTTCCTCCTTATCTCTATTTTTAATTTGATTTTCTATTACTGTTCACTTACGCTTTCGTAGGTCGACCGAAAAATAGCTGGGCTAAGAATTGTCGGGCTCCAAGTCACAATAGTGGTATTAGAGCTCTTAGATCAAGGGCTTTGTTGCGTCATAGATGGAGGGTGTTATAGCGCATGATGATGAGATGTTCAAACTCACCGCGAAGAGCTACTCATATTGGAAACCCATGATGGAGGACCATCTTTATTGCAAGGATCTGTATGAACTCATTCTGAGCGCAGACAAGGCCGAAATGAAGAGCTATAAAGAGTGGGATTTCCTCAATAGGAAGGTGGTCGCTATGATCTGCAAATACATCGACAAGAGCTTGTTTGAGCATTTGTCGACATACACGAAACACTCATGAGTTGTGGATGAAGCTAGAATCCTTAATCCAGAAGAAGACACCTCGCAACAAAGCATACTTGGTGCATTGACTTGTAAAGATAAACTACAAGGACAGAAAAAGCATGATTGAGAACCTGAATACATACAAGGGGGTCGTCAATCAGCTGACAAAGATTGACATGAAGATCAATGACGAGTTGCAAGCCTTTTTGCTACTCAGCTTGTTACCTGAGAGCTGAGATACTTTGGTGGTGACGTTTAGCAACTCGGCCCCATAAAGACAGATGACACTGAACTCTGTTGCAGACAGCTTGCTAACTGAAGAGGCTAGGAGGAAAGAACGAGGTATAACCCAACATAATGAGGCTAATGTTGTTGAAAACCATGGAAGAACGGCACGCCGAGGTCGAAGTAGAAGCTGAGGTCATTATAAGTCTAGAGGTCGGTCAAAGTCAAGGCCAGGTACTCTCACATGCTTCTATTGTGGAAAACTAGGTCACTGAAAGTTAGAATAGTGGACTTTGAAAAAAGGATCAAAGGACAGGAAATGTTAAGCCGGATATGATAGATCATCCGAAGAAGAGCGAAGAGCATATCACCATGGTTGCAGCTGACAAGGCCGAGGTTGATGTCTTCCTGATTGGTGAAGACAACTACTTGAATGTAGCTTATGACGATTGTTCATGGATTTTGGACTCAGGAGAATCCTTTCATGTCCCACTCCACAAGAAGTTCTTCTCATCATACCAAGGCATCGAATTTGGTATCGTGAAGATGAGTAACCAAGTTACCAGCAAGATAGTGGAATTTTGAGAAGTCACGATGATGACTAACATGGGCTGTAGATTGGTTCTGAAAGAGGTCAGACATATTCCTGATATGAGGCTCAATCTCATCTCGGCAGGATAGCTTGATGAAGCCGGGTTGGTAAACTACTTTGGTGATGGAAGATGGTAACTCGCCAGAGGTAGCTTGGTAGTAGACCGAAATAAGAAAGAAAGATCTCTCTATGTTATGCAAGGGAAGGGCGACAATGGATAGACCAATGCGGTGCAAGATGAATCAAGTTTGGAGCTCTGGCACAGACAACTCGGACACATGAGTGAGAAGGATATGCAAATCCTTGCCAAGAAGGAATTGTTGTCGAGCTTGAGAGGTCAACTCTTAGAGACATGCACACATTGTTTAACCAGCAAGCAATGTTAAGTTTCATTTCAAGAGACCATACCAGCCTAGAAAAATGAGGTATGCTCTTGATCTTGTTCATACTGATGTGTGTTCTATGTCAGAAAAATCTATAAATGATGCATATTACTTTGTCACATTCATTGGTGATCACACCAGAAGAGTGTGGGTGACCTTTCTTAATACGAAAGATCTTCAAGCATTCAATGAGTTCCATGCAAGGGTTGAAAGGAAGACCGACAGAAAGTTGAAGGTCATCCGAGCTGACAACGACGAAGAATACCGAGGTTTATTTGAAATGTACTACAAGGTAGCAGGTGTAAAGCAGGAGAAAACACCTTAGCTGAATGGTATAACTGAAAGGTTGAATCAGACCATTGAAGAACGAGTCTGAAGTCTGCTTTCACGTGCCAAGCTTCCCAAGACATTATAGAGAAAATCCGTCAAGACTGCAGTCGACCTAATCCACTTATCACCCTCAAGTCCTCTAGAAGAAGACATCCCAAAAGAAGTCTGGACGAGTAGGAAGACAAAGTATAAGCATCTGAAGGTATTCGGATGTCGGTCATTTGTGCACATTTCTAAGGATGAATGAGCAAAGTGGATGCCAAGATAAATATGTGTTTATCTTGACTCAACAAAGGACAAGTTTGGTTTATCATCTTTGGCACCCTGTCAACAAGAAGGTTGTGACGAGTCGAGATGCAGTGTTTTTAGAGAGTCAGACTATTGAGGACATACAAAAGACTAAGGTCCGAAATGTTGTTCGTCATGAAGACCTCGTCTCTCATGCCCTAGCTGAAGTAGGGGGAGAATCCAACCAGCAAAACATTGAGGAGGGCGCTCAACAGGAAGAACCATCAACTGAAGTTGAGACAGATTCAGAATATCCGAAAGTCCAAGATGAAATAGAAGAACTGGGTTCGGAGAAGCAAAAACAAACTCGACAATCTGTCCGAGTTAGACATCCTTCCACTAGATATCCTGCAGACGAGCACATAGTCGTTGTAGAAGAAGGAAAGCCTCGAGTTATGAAGAGACAATGACCAGTGCTGAAAAGGAAGAGTGAGAGAAAGCCATGCAAAACGATATGAAATCCTTGTATGAGAATCACACATTTGATCTGGTCGAGTTATCAGAAGGCAGACGTGCTTTAAAGAACAAATGGGTATACAAAACTCATGGTCGAGGAGAACAACCCGAAGCCAAGGTATAAAGCCTAGATTATAATAAAAGGGTGCAATCCGAAGAAAGACATAGACTTTGAGGAGATATTCTTACTAGTGGTGAAGATGACATCAATCCAAACTATTCTAGGCATAGCGACCATTCAAGACTCGGAGGTCGAATAGCTGGATATGAAGACGACATTTCTTCATGGAGACTTAGAAGAAGAAATATACATGGAGAAATCCGAAGGTTTTGAAGTTCCTGGTAAAGAACATCTGACATGCCAACTTAAAAAGAGCTTGTACGGCCTGAAGCAAGCACCCTAATAGTGGTACAAATAGTTCGAATCCTTCAAGACTCAGCATGACTTTAAGAAAACTTAAGCAGATCATTGTGTTTTTATCAAAAGGTATGATATTGACTTCATCATTTTCTTGCTCTACGTAGATGACATGCTAATAATGGGGAAAAAATACGAGGAAAATTAATGCCCTCAAGAAAGCCTTGAGCGAGTCGTTCGCTATGAAAGATCTTGACTTAGCAAGACAG